AACCCTCCCATACAAGCCACATTTGTGGATAATTTGTGATATTGGCACATGCTCACAATGACCATTCTTTGTCATAAATTCCTGCAACTGCTTCAGAGTTGCTGTAGGCTTCTTGGTGGCCTCTCTGACCATTTTCCTCACTGTGCTTCTAGGCATTGGCAAAGCCTTTGAAATGTTTTTGTATCCATCTCCTGACTTGTGCCTGTCCACAACTTTATCCCGGAGATCTTCTGACAGTGCCTTGCCACCCATAGTTGATTGTTTGCTTCAGTTGCACTACCAAGGACTGAAATGCTCCAGGAAAGCTCTTTTCATGCTGAGCTGATCAAAATGACCACAGCTGATCACAGTTGAAAGTCAAATGGCTTTGTGTGCCACTGAGAAGGTGATTAGCTACACCGGGTTGAGTTTACAAGTCATTTTTAGGAGGGGGGTGATCCTTTTATAACATGTTGGTGTTATATCTTTCACTTGGATATTATAAGTTGCACTGAGTAAAAACATAAACTGTGTCCGTCTTCATTTCAGGCTGCAAAGCAACAAAATGTGATTATTTTAAAGGGTAATAATCTGGTAATAGTAATCGTAATAATAATAGTAATAATCTGAATGTTTTATTATGAGTTATGAAGAGAACGAAAAAAAATACTTAAAAGGAATGTTGTTCGATCACAATAATTTATTTCGATTTTTGCTTTAGTTTGCAAAGATAATTTTTCTAATCAGTTTGATGTAATTGCTTCCGCCCTGAACTCCCCAATCCCTATCTGTCCCCCTCTCGCAGGAGAAAGTATAACATGTGGACGAACAGGAAGTTGCCCTGCAGGTTGAGACGAGTCAGGACTGCAGACACACCCTCCAATAAAGCGTTCTGATAGAGAGACTATTACAATGAACAAGACAATGCAAAATACAGCAGATCACTCACTGGAAATGATTGCCTGGGTAGACTTGCACAAATAGGGTACAAAATATGGCCTGAAACTCTTAAAACATAATAGTTCGAATTAGTTTGTAATTAAAAATCGATTTTTATAAGAATGAATTGAATATAAATTCACAAGACTATTGTGACATAATTCTGAGAAGGTCAGGACCTTTAAGGTGTGACAGGTCAAAATCACCATTTTAAAGGCAGGGCTCACGTTCTCTGTTTAAATCAAACTAGGTTAAGTAATAGTTTATCAAATGTATCTATAACTGTCACAACAAACAACTCAGGATTTGTGCCTCTTGTGCATAATCATGTAAAATGCAGGGTTTTTTTCCATTAATCATACTAAGTTTGTGTAATTGCATATTATATTATATAATTGGATTGAGCTGATTTGTGGGAATGACCTCGATAGCATGTCATCAGTGACTCACGGATGAGAATGATGGTATTTCAGCGCTGAGCATGTTGAGGTATAGGTGCGGCTGAGGGTGGGGTAAAAATCCCTCTTTATGAGTCAAAAGCTGACATTTGAGAAAGTATAGCTTATTGAGCAACAACAATTATCTTTAGAGAGTCACATTATACTAATTACATAAACAATTTAGCATTAAAAACCATGCCAGCAGGATTGAGATCTTATAATTCTGGTGTGACTGTACCCATAAATTGGGTTGTAACATCTTAACACACTGTTCCAACGAGAAAATGTGACCCTGTTAAAAATTAGCACATGTTCTCTTTATGGACCTCGATGGGAGATAATTGAGATTCTGCTTTTATTAGTATCTGGTTCCTCTGCTCCAGTTTAGAGGCCGAGCTGCTCTGACGCTGTGTGTTCAGACCATGCTGCTGATCAGACAATTTTGTCTTCCTTGCTCTTTCATTGTCTTCATTTTTATTTTTTTTTGACAGTATCTAGTACACAAAAAGCATGAAGTCTGACACATTGATGTATCATTGTCTTCTGGGTCAACTGTTGTACAACGTTATGACAAACCCCATTACAGCAAAACCAAGGGTGTATGAGCAAGACAATTAAGCAACACATGTCAAAAGTCAAATAAATCTAAACAGAGTAATACATCCATTTCATTAACACTTTCATGCATGACATCCACTACACTCTAAAAAATGCTGGGTTAAATATAACCCAGCGCTGGGTTAAAAGGGACAAACCCAGCTGTTGGGTTAAAAGGGACAAACCCAGCTGTTGGGTTGTTTTGACCCAGCGGTTGGGTTGTTTTGACCCAGCGGTTGGCTTGTTTTGACCCAGCGGTTGGCTTGTTTTGACCCAGCGGTTGGCTTGTTTTGACCCAGCGGTTGGGTTGTTTTGTTAGTATTAATATAAAATGTAGTATTAATGTTTCAAATAAAAAAAATAATAACAATTGTCAACATGATCAGAACTTTGCTGAAAAACCTGTTGTTCACATCTACATGCCTTCTGATGTCTGCTTGATAATACATACATTATTAGCAAATAAAAGGCTTTTTAATATCATCCTAAGAACAGTATTTTTCTTTTATTCTATTACTCTATTATTATTAATGTTTTAAGATGAACACTTACTGGACTGAAGCAACAGATGTTTACTTGATTATCCATATTTCCTTTTTTTTTTAGAAAAATCATATTTTGTGTAACATTTATTTGTTCATCTCTCAGTCATCATTGTATTGCATTGCATTATATGTTTCGTCTCCACAGCTTTGATCATAAAACTAAGCATTTAAATATCATTTTACTCAGACATAAGCCTATCAGTGGGAGATGACGACTGATATTTAAATGCATTTTATGCATTTAGCCTGTTATATTGTTAAAAAGATCTCACTAATTTACATCACAAGGCAAGCTATCAGAATTTCATCATAATTTTTGCCCATATAAATATCAGCATCTACACCTCAGAATAAAAGTGAAGTGTTTCATTTCTCCTCGAGTATGAGCTCCATATTCTCATATTATACTCTAAAAGGTTTTTTCCACATGTCAGGCTTTACAGGGTTAAACCCATTCTCCTCATTAGATTCCTCGGAACCAAACGCGCTCCAGGTTGCGCGGCGCACGCCAATCAAAACTCCGGTTGCCTAGGCAGCGGTTGACGTCACGGCCCCTGCCCAGTCCCTGCTCCGGCAGCGCGAGAGTGGGAGGGAAACCCCGTGGATCGCACGGGAACGCCGCGCTGCTTGCGCCACAGTCGGTGAGTGGCAGCTGAGCCGTGCAGACGGAGACAGAGCGACCACTCTCATTCACAGGTTAGCTTAACGTTACTTTCGTTTCATTCAACTCTTCGCTGTGCTGTTGCATAAATAAGATCTGTATTTCTTTCTTCCGAGTCTGCTCGTTTTAACTGAGCTGTTTATATCACTCGAAAAGAAGCTAATTGTTTGTAATAAGTACTTGCCATTGGGATGCTTCAAAGCTTTTTGCTTGAGAAATGACTCAATGGCGGCTCGGATGATACAAGAATAAGAAGTTTTACTCCTAAAACGAAGTCGGGGCTGTTACGTGGCTTAATAAACGCTATTTTGCGCGTTTTCGCTCTTCGACCGTTTCAGCTTTCCTGACAACGGAAGGATGAGTCCTCCTCCTCCGCACACAAACATCACTTCATCTGTTATTGTTCACATGTTAGTCAGAATATAAGTGTAAAAATGTGATTTATCGCATTCAAGCTCGGTCCTAGAGGATATCTGGCAAGCCAGATCATGTCGGGCACATTAGGCGAAAAGTAGGGCGTTTACCTCACTACTTTGAGTTCCTGTCAGTTGAAGGTATCGACAGTGTGTGTCATTTTGAATTTGCTTGTGGAAATGGATTGGTGTTTTGGTCTTTGTCAGCACAATGTAATATATTCCCATTGTCTAAAAGGCCGTTGTAAGATCAAATGGTGCAGACGAGCTGCCCGGTGTCGTATTGAGACAAAGCGGACGTTAGGAAGGTAACGTCAGGTAAAGAGCGGACGCAGGGCGGGAGTAGTTCGCGCGCATGAATTCCCGGATGGACCGTAATCAGACAGACATCCGACGCGAGATCGGCTCTTTTTTTTTATATGCAGCGCGTCTTGTTTAAACATTGTTCGCTGGTTGCTGTTGGGCTGGTGTGTGGACTGGGCGTGGTCGGCGAAGTCATGTCCGCATTTTTGGCCATTTTCGCTCCTTTTCTCTCATGTCGCATGTTAAATGAATGGGTGTTTGTTTTGGGTGAATCAAAGTCATCGTTTCTGGGGGTCTCAAGGCCTGCATTCCTCTAATTTCTCAGTCTTATATTGTGATAGCCCGATAAATCGGACAAAATGTCAGCATTGGCCGATAATTCAGTAGATTAACCCTTTAGGCGCCAGGGATTTTTGGAAAAATGCTGGATTTTGACATCAAGATTTCAAACGCCTGTGGCTTGAAAGGACTTAAAGATAGAAATCTACTGTAAATTAGAAAAATGTTGGGCATTACAGAAAGTTTATGTGGGGTGTAAATGTACTCGTTTAATTTGCATATTATTACGTCATCAGGGGCGGCCATCTTGAATTTAATAATATTCAGTGTAAATATACTTGTTTAATTTGCATATTATGACGTCATCAGGGGCGGCCATCTTGAATTTAATAATATTCAGGAAATAGTAGATATTGAATGGATCTTTTAACTTATTTGCATGTTTTTTTTGTCTTTTTATCCTCATTCCAAATGATCAGAAAAGAGGAAACCAACAATAAAACAGGAGAAAGTACTAAATTATTACTAGATGACCAACAAGCTCATCAAAGTGTTGGATCCAGTACACATCTGCCATCTAGTGGTAGGGAATACAAATGAGATATTACTCCATATTAGGAACTACAGTCTATTTTATTAAGTATGACGTCTTGTTGCAATTTTGCGACTTTGGCGATTAGAGGGTTAACAGAAATGTACTCTTCCCTGTTTCAGTGCCAATGGATAATGCTCTAAAATTATTTGGAAACAGAAAATGTGCATTTCAGCCAGTGTTTTGTAAAACATATCAGCATATTTGCTACAATTAAAGTATTAGTTCACTTCCAGAATAAAAATTTCATGATACTTTACTCACCCCCGTGTCATCCAAGATGTTCATGTCTTTCTGTTTTCAGTCGCAAAGAAATAAAGATTTTTGAGGAAAACTTTCCAGGATTTTTCTCCATATAAAAGACTTGGGGACCAATGGGCTGAAGGTTCAAACTGCAGTTTCAGTGCAGCTTCAAAGGGCTGTACACGATCCCAGCCGAGGAATAAGGGTCTTATCTAGCGAAACGATCAGTCATTTTCTTTAAAAAAATACAAATTTATATACTTTTTAACCACAAATGCTCGTCTTGCACTAGCTCGACTTCACGCATTACGTAATCATGTTGGAAAGGTCACGACTCACGCGTGACGAAGGCGGAAGTACCGACTCAGTATTTACAAAGCGAATGTGCCTTTACAAAAAAAAGCCCTACCAAAAAAAGGTAAAACAACGATGTCTGAAGATTTTGAAGTTTGAGGAGAAAATGAGATGGAGTTTTTCGCCCTACCCTACCTTTCTGAACCCGCAGTACACCGACGAAGAGCTAACCGCGCGTGACCTTTCCAACGTGATTACGTAATGCATGAAGTCGAGCTAGTGCAAGATGTGCATTTGTGGTTAAAAAGTATATACTTATTTTTTTTTAAGAAGATGACCCATGGTTTCACTAGATGAGACCCTTATTCCTCGGCTGGGATCATGTAGAGCTCTTTGATGCTGCAATTGAAACTGCAATTTGGACCTTCAGCCCATTGGTCCCCAAGTCTTTTATATGGAGAAAAATCCTGGAAAGTTTTCCTCAAAAACCTTAATTTCTTTGTGACTGAAGACAGAAAGACATGAACATCTTGGATTATTTTAGTAATCTAGTATTCTACCTATTAGTCCGAGTAATCAGATAAGAAGTAATTTTTCTTTAATAAAGAACAATTCTAAATATACAAGAGAAAATAAGATAGGTCTCTTAAAATAAACAACTAATTTATTTCCTTTTCAGAAAGATGAAAATTTTTATTGCAGAAATTGCATACATTAATAACCGTGAAAACTAAACCCATTTAATGCATTTAATTGCCATATTACATTCAAAATGCAAATACAAATATCAGTTTAAAAAAAATAAGTTATATATATAAATAAAAATACAAAAATCTATTTCACATTACTTTAAAAAAGGTAAACATTACAACCTAAAACTAAGGGATTAAATCATTGTGGCTCAGTGGTAGAGCATTGCGTTAGCAGCGCAAAGGTCGTGGGTTCAATTCTCAGGGAACACACACACTGGTAAAAAATGTATAGCCTGAATGCACTGTAAGTCGCTTTGGATAAAAGCGTCTGCTAAATGCATAAATTAATTTATTTATTTATTTATTTCAATTTAAATCAAGAAATATAAAAAAACAATTTTACATTACTTTAAAAAAAGTAAACGGTACAAATTTAAACTAAGGCATAAATCAAAATAATAGTAATAAAAATAATAATAATACCTAAACATTGCATTAATTTCGTGTAAATTAAGTTTCAAGTTTCATCCTAACTAAAGCTCAAGCATGACACAAGCCTTTACTGTCTTCTTGGAAGGCTGTGTGGCTTTTAAGAGGCAAAAATCAGTGGACAGGAAGGTAACTTGGAACAAGAACAAGAGTCCATACACAATTTCTAAACACATTTTTCTGCAATTTGAAATTAGAGTTATTTGAAGAATAAACCCTCTTAAATGTCTCTCTACTTGCACACGCGTGCGTGCGTGTGTGTGTGTGTAAACCTTGTTTTTGATATCCTTCATATTCTATGTACTGGTCAGTTCACAGCACTGATAGAAATTTATCTGTTCCAATAAGTTTAAATTGATTTTAAAATTTTATGGCCATTTTTACCTTTATAAAGCCATATTTTTTTTCTGTGTGCATCATCTTTTGAGTCAAATTCTTAATCAGTCAATTAGAATAATAAGACATTTGGGCTGTTACCAAACAAATGATATCAGTATCAACAAAATTCATCTTTGTAATGCAGAGGAAACACAGAAGCTGCATCTTCTGAAGAGGCATTTAGATACACCTATTTACACTATTTAATTCAGCTCAGAGGGACATGAATGTATTTAACCTGCAGTTACAAATGCATAAAAATATTTTGTTATTTTAAACATAAAATATTGAATACTGATATTTACAATTATTTTAAAAATGAAAATATACTTTAAATGTGAAATTAATACCGCCAGTAGGTGGCAGCAAGTCACTGTTAA